AGGAAGGCCTGGCGCAATATGGTTCATGGGGTCACGAAGAGTCGGACACGACTTAACGACTAAACAACATGCAAAAAAATCCAAGGATCACTTTTGGGGGTGCCCATCCAAGAAGGTGTGTAGAGAGTGAACCATCTGCATCCAGTTCTGGAAATGTTCTAGTAGGAGACCATGGCAGATGAGGCACTTCCTGGACTTCCCTCCCATGCATTAGCCAAGGCAGTGTTCACCCGAGCACCAGGCCAAAGGTCCAGCTGAAATGGATCTAGAAAGCCCTTGAAATGTGTCTAAGAATATCTGGATTGGGTCAGCTTTCTCCCACTTAAAGAATTTGCCCGGGAATGGAAGTTTAGCTGTTGATCCGTGGTTATTCAAAACTTCTGGGTCAAATATTTTTTTTTTCAGGAGTGGTTTCAGACCATGTCTTCTCATAAAGAGGGTTAAAGTTCCTCAGTGGCCCAATTGCACACATCCTTCCTGCTTGATGTGATAAATCAAGTAGCTGAAAGTTGAGGAAACATAATTTAGGACCATAGGAAAGGCATGATGGAACAGATCAAGGGCTACCTAGTTTGGTGATCTCTTCCCACAATCATCCAATTAAGTTAGGGAGGATCTTACCTGGAATTGTGTGTGTGTGTGTGTGCGTGCGTCCACATTAGGATCCAAAATGCAAGGACAGCACAGAGAGGACCAACAGCACGGCACAGATCTGCTTTGTTTGTGATGCACAAAGCTGGCTCCTTGTCCTCGTGGGAAGAGGCGGAGAAGCCAGGATGGCTGTGCACTTTGGGCAACCAAGCCAACTGCTGCCCTGGATGCACAGGTTTAAGTCCCACTGGCTATCGGCAAGCATTGACAGATTCCTACCATCATTCCTTTGATCCCCTCTTCTAAACCAGACTTTTCCTGACCGCAGCCTCTCCTCTCACCCACCGCACAGCCAAGTGCCTTCTCTGGAGCTGATCTCACAGACCACCTGATCAGCAGTTCCACAGGCCAGTGGAGGCAGATGCATCAGCCCCTGGTGGGCTGCAACCCAACCAGAGCTGCTGCAGACCCCCAGGCACCTCCCTTGCCCTAGCAGCTTCTCACCCTGCTGTTGGGATTGCCTCCATTTTCTATCAGCATCCGGATGGCTTCGGGATGGCCCCCTCCAGAGGCCTCAGAGAGGGGCGTGTTGCCATTGGCGTCTGTGCAGTCCACCATGTTGAGGTGATGCTGGAGCCGGACAACCTTCCCGTTCTCATCTGTTCCCACACCATTCTTGGTATCCAGATCTGCCACCTTGAAAGATCAAGTTGGTTGGGGTTGTCCAGGAAGAGAGGACTGGCAATTCTGCCTTATGAGGCAGAACAAGGCAAGTTGAGTTTTGGCCCTATTTGACAGCATGCTGCACCCGGTCTCCTGCCAGCCCCTTCTAAACCTCTCTCTAGTGTTTATGGAAATGCACAGCTATGCAGTAGGATCAAAGCTCCTTTGTTTTGGGAATGCTCACTCCCCACCTCCTGTCACCCAGAGTGCCCAGCGCTCCAAGACCCTTTGCACCCAGTGAGCATGGGCAAGCAAGTCCCCTGCCCACCATGGCTGGAGGATTCTGGGGCCAGTGAGCTGAGGGCACTGGTGGGACTATTGCCTTGCCAAGGAAATTCCACACATGAGGGATGAGGATGAGAAGATGAGGCACAGTTGAAACATGCCAGGTTTCTTAATATTTAAAAGACAGTTTTCAGATTCCAAGTACACAAGTTAATGACCTTATCTGGCTGTCAAAGTCTACCCTAAGACCTAACCATCCTGCTGTTCCTTAAAACTATGACTTATCACGAGCTCCACATAAACGAGAGTAGATCTTCTATGCTAGAATTTATGAGTAAGTCTGGGATTATACAATATGCAATTAGTATAATGTTGAACATGCTTCAATCTTAAGTTGAGCTATTTAGGGAGTGGGCAGAAGGTAGATGTCCTCTCCCTCCCAGCTGTCTCTCTGGACTTCAGCCAGAGCTCAGCCAAGCCACTTCTGCTAGGGAAGTTCACGGGACATGCTTTTGGGAAGAGGCGCTCCAGTGCCCTATGGCTCTGGCTGAGGAAAGGCCTCCCTATGCATCAGTGCGGCGTTCTGGATCTCGGTTTCTGGGTTGTCATAGCATAGTAACATTTAAATTCCTCCTTCCATTTTGGGGGGGAAAAAATTAGGTACTTCAGTACCACTCTCTGAGGCCCACGGGACATATTCCAAGGCCACACAGCTTGACAGTATGACAAAAACAGACGAGGGGATTCAAATGCAGTTCAGACTGCTGAGGGGGAAGGAGAAATTAAAGCCTTTCCTTCCCCCGCTCCCATGATCCGCAAGTGAGCACAGACAGTGATGGGTGGGTGGCCCTTTCTTCTCAGCAGCAAGGGCTCACAGACATGGGTGGGTGGCTCCCAGAGAGACGTAGTCCCCACAGCCAGGGCAAACATCTGCTCATTCCTGACTTAAGTGGTAAAGCTTGAAGATGAGTAAGGAACAACTGTTTTGCCAAAGACAACGAACCCATCCGCTTGTACCTTTGTACCATTACTCCCCCGAGGCCATAATTTTGTCCTTCTAGCCCCATTTCACCTCCAGAACTTTAAATACTGCTGCTCTCGGGGAATTGGATGATGGCTGCCCGTAGAGGGTCTGGCAGCATCTCCAGCCAGAAGAAGCCCAGGGCCGCTCTTTTCACCTATGGACTGCTTCAGATTGATGAGCCCTGTTTCCAGGGAGCTGGAAGAACACATATCGTGGGCAGGGTGTCTCACGTGAAGGGAGAGGAGAGGGCTGCCATTGCACAATATGCTGAACCGGGTTACCACATTAGCCGATTCTCTTCCTTGGCACAGTGCTCCGAGTCACAAACTAACCAAATAGTTAGTTGGTTTGCGCAACCCACTAAGCCACAGAAAAGCCATCCAAACTGAACGCTAACCGAGTGTGGCATGTGACACACCTGCAGCTGCTGGGTTTGCAGCCAGCCTGTTTAAAGGCCTTGTGTCAATGCGGTCAGAGACTACCAGCACCAGCGTGACAAGAAGGGGAGAGAAGAGGTCCTAAGAGCTCCATGGCCTTTCTTGGGCTTCCTTTCAGCAAAGAAGTTCTGTTTTCCAGCCTGGTGCTGGTTAGGGAGAAGCGCCCTACAGAGGGACCGCCAGCGCACTCTCTTCACCTCTTTCAGAACTGCCTTCATCTCCTCCACATCTCCTTCAAAAGCTGCCTCCAGCATCCGTTTTCTCCTCTGCTGCTCCTCTCTCTGCTTCCTCTTTTCTTCCTCTTCTTTCTTTCGCTCCCGCTCAGCTTCTTCCTGCTCCCTTTTCACTAGAGCAACGAAAGCCTGCAACATAAACAGCCCAGCGAAGACCCCCATGTTGTCCCGGCAGGGAAATGCCTTCACAGTAAGGGTCTGAGGATGCCAGCAGTGAGGCCCAAACGTGGAGAGGGAATAACATTCTTTATTGATCCTCTCCTCTGGTTTTAACAATTCCAAAACACAACTACTACCCTAAAAAGCAAGGATTACTGAGGCTCAGCCCATCTTATTATGTCATCAGCCACATAATTGCCCCCCCTGCTGTTTTCAAAGTCGTCCAGCCCCTCACCTCTCTTTGGAGGCGATCCATTAATTCATTGTATTCTTGCTGCTCCTTCAATCGCCTCTTTTTCTCCCGGCGCGCCAGAATCCGACGGAAGGCGCACTGCAAAGTGAGTGCAGCCTTTGCTTCACAACTCAGCTCTGAGCAGAAAAGAGAGCAGAGGGCTATAAAAGGAGATTCCGAAGGCCTTCCCGGTCCTCATTTCTCTTGTGAAGGCGTAGCTGCCAAGCAGAACGCACAAGCTCTCTATAAAAGATTGGGAAGGGTGAACTGGCATCAATGAAGGATCACGGTCACCAGCTTATGTTCGAAAGAGCTTTCGGTATGGCAGTGCTTTAGCTAGGCCAGAGGCTGGATGGCCCACCTGAAAGTCAGCACTCAGGTCCAGATGATCTTCACCGGAGGACTCTTACTGGACTCAGATGTGAGGTGACCAGGTAGTCTGGTCCTGAAAAAGCCTTCAAAGGTTACAGTTACAGTTGCCCAAAATCAAACCCCCTTTTATGGGCAGGGAATTCAGAGATCCAACTCCATGCATTCTTAGGTGATACTGATGTTGTGGATCCACTCTAGTCTCAATTACAACCTGGTCGACTTGATCCAGTGTCCTCCTGGATGGGTTTTGTTAAGTGGGGCCAGTTTTACAGTTGGGATATAACATCTACAATGCACCAGGAATACCCTTCCTCTGCTCTGCACCAGGAGAAGGGCACCAATGCTGGCCTTTCAGGTATCTCTTAAAAAGACCTTTTATGTTGGTCTTCCCAGCCACTAATTTCCAGAAACATTGTTATGTACAGGGACTGTTGTTACTCCTTTGTTTTGCTTTATTCTAGACTGATTTTCTAAAATAAATCAAGTGGATCTTATAGGAAAAATGTACAACCTCTTTACAATAAGCATATTTTCCTTAGGGCTGAAAAATAATGTTTAAAATAGGTTTAAAAATGGAGGGGATGGGGAGTAAAACAAGTTATAGTTTAGGATTAGCTTAAACCCATTCCAGATAGTAATAACAAAACCACCTTGCTTAGAACTTCCCACATACTATAACAATACCTCTATGATTCCTAGGCTGGTTGTTAGTCTAAAGATTGCAATATGCATTGGACGGAAAGAGCAGAAGAAAAAGAAGGGGGGGGAGGAGGAGAGCATGGAATCATGGGGTTGGGACCTTAGAGGCCTTCTAGTCCAGCCCCCTGCCCAGGGCGGGAGTCTTCAGAGCACTCCAGACAGGCGGCTGCCAACCCTTGCTTGAAGACCTCCAGCGATGGAGCTCCCACCTATCTGGAAGGCAGGCTGCTGCACCGCTGAAGAGCCCTCCCGTCAGGAAAGTCCTCCTCATCTCCTAGACCTCCTTCTGTGAAACCACCTGGCACCTGTTGGCTCTTGACGTTTCCTCCACACCTCTTCCCTGTGACAGCCCCTCAAGTCTTGAAAGGCTGCTACCATGTCTCCCTGTGGCTCTCTAGACTGAACATGACCAAGTTCCTTTAACTACCCTTCAGGGGATTTAGCCTCCAGGCCCCTCGCCATCTTCATCACTCATCTCTGCCTTCTTTCCAGTTCCTCAATGGTCTTCTCGTATTGTAGTGACCACACAGTATTCCACGTGTGGCCTGACCAGTGAATGTAGAGCAGTACTATCACCTCCTGAGATCTTGACAGGAAGCTGAGCCCAAGGAGCCATCCTTGCTGAAAAGGAACCCATCTTGTCTTGCTCACCCTCTTGGGGACACAACAGGAGTGGGGGCAGGACTGCTCTAAAGGCTGCTGAATATTTGGCTGCTCCCACCCTCTTCTGCAAGGCTCCAGAAGAGTCATGGGGTAAGAGGACAAGTGCCACCAGGCACTGCAGTTGGCTAAAATATGAACATGGTCTTTTCTCTAATTTGTGATAAATTAGGACGTCTGGTAAACTGCCAAAATGTTGAAGATGACATGTTATTACTTTCTCTTGTAGATGTGTGGAGATATAAACACCCACTGGAAAAAGAACATACTTATTCTTAAACATACTTAAGAACTCATCACTACCTAAATGTGTGGAAGTGGAAATTGCTCCTTTGCCCTGTGCAGAGCACAGTCCAACAACGGTGAGCCTAGGGAGAAGAACAATTGGTTGGAAAAGCCGGAGGCTGAAAAATTTATTTTTGCTGCAAAATGATACTGAATGAGTTTCTTTCATGCCTAACTTGACACCTGATGTTTCTTTATTCACAGTATGGGGATCTAGCAAAGCCTTTATGAGAGGACCATTCATTCTTATAACTTCAAACAGAAAGACATACAAAACCAGAAAGATATATTGACAAGTTCTTTGAAACAACCCGAACTGAGGTGCAAGCAGAACCCCATGCTGGACATGTTACAAAAATTTAAGGAGATTTGTAAACAGTTCTGGAAGCAAAGGAGAACTACAAGAAGATCAATTTTGTCAAATAGAGATAATTTGAAAAAAAGTAACAAACCAGAGAAATTATTAGCTTATCAATTGAGAAAAGAATTGTTACCTCAATCTGGGATGGCAAGAAGTATGTCTCAACTGCAGATGAGATGACAATAGTTTGTTAAGAATTTCACTCAATTATGTGGTAGGTAGTCGACACCAACTTGATGGTGCATAATCAATCAATCAATCACTCAATCACTCAATCAATCCAAAAGGTACCAAGTTTCAGAAAGAGTCCAGAGTCATCCAGAGCTATCTCTTTATTGAATGCTGGTTATAAACTTTTCTGGCAGGAAGACTAAATAATCTCCTGGCAGAATTCTGCTCTAATGGGATTTGTTCCAAAGAGAATATTTTGAGTGCTGTTGACAAAATCATTCAAAAAAACAAAAAGGCTTGGATGATTTTTTTTCCTGATGTGGAAAAACCTTTTGATAATATTGAATGGTCTTTTATGCTTTTGATGGTGAAGAGCAAACAACAAAGGTTTGGTAAAGTAAATGGAATTTATCAAAAACAAGTTTTATCTTAACAGAGACAAGATAAAAACTGCTCTCTTTCACCCTCTTTGTTTATTAGAACCATTACCAAGGAAGGTCTGGCAGAATACTAAATGTTTCAGAATCAAAATGGCAAGTCAAGAACCTAAGTTACAACTGTATTTACAGTTACTGATCCAAGGAATTCGCCAAAGTCAATAATGGACATACACCACAATATAATAAGGTATCAGGATATTGGATCGACAAGACACAAATGATCACATGGAATTTATCCAAAGAGGATCAACAATGTTTAAGACAAACAACAGGGATCAATACTAATGTTAAAATTATTAAATTTACTTAACTAGAAGTAATACAGATTTATTCAAAAATAATTATTTGCAGATTTAGGAGAGCCTAATGGTGGCATTCATAGATAGAAGTAGCTGAGATTATCTTGGTTGAGAAAAATATTGATAGTAAAAAATGAATGGTCTTCCAGGAGCTAATTTTCTATTCAAAATGATCCCAAAGAGCTTTGATGAAAAGTTGCTGAATGAGCGGGAAAGCACTTTAAGCATTTTCATCTGGTTAAATAAATGACTGAGCACTGAACCTCAAATTTTACAAGATATAAAAGAAAGAGGGGAATTGGTTGCACCAAATCTGAAATCACACCATCAAGCCAGCAGTTTGACCTGGATCCCAGGCTGGATTGTAGCACCCTATGTAGATGACATCTTTGGAAGGAGCAGGACTCACATGAATAGCTTTGGACTGAGATGAAAAAAAAGGCTGTAAGTATGAGAAATCACCCTGTTAAGAGCAACTTATTAAAAATATGAGATAAATACAAAAAAGGACTTTAGTTCTAACCCTAATCCAGGCCTATCTCCTCTGACTTCAATATTAAATATACATTTTCATGAAGAAAAATATGCTAAAAAATTGATCAATGGAAATGAAATGTTTATAACAATAAATCAGTAAATATGCTTTAAAATACAGCATGCAGAGGCTGAGTTTGTATCCCACAGTTAACTAGATCAGTTATGCATCCAGGGCCTTTGTTTGCACAATATGGTAGCTTGGTTAGTTTTAACTTCGGTTAGCTTTTTCTGTAGCTTGGCATGTTGTGCACATGCCCACATGCTTAATTTATGGCTCAATGTATTGTGCAAACCCCAAAATATGTCAATTCAGTAACCAGTTAAAAATGTTGTGTGAACCCAGCCAGGGAGTGGGATTAAACGAACTATGTGCATATTGAAGAGATTTAATTCATAATTCATTAAGCTTATATTGTACTTCCTTCTAGTAGGTCAGGGAGGTAGACAACTGAGCTGAGGGAGAATGCTTTGCCAAAGACACCAGCTGGTTCAATGGTCAAGCAAGAAGTTGAAAGCTGTCCGCCACATTCCCATCCCTAACTGTGTAAGGTAGGGATCAAACTTGGCATCTCTTATTTCTTTATGAATGACCTGGAGTTAGAGCTTAGACATGAAGGTCCCAGAATTGTTGATGGCATCAACTTTTGGGTGGTAGAATTAAAATGTTATTGTGAGGATCTGCAGAAGGATCTCTTAGCTGCACGAATGGACCTTAACATAGCAAATGCAGATCCAGTAAAGTAAGGGCAGTGGTTTAAAGTTCTATAGAAACCAAGGGGGTCTGAGCTGCCAATGGCTCTGCAGGAAAGAGGTCTGAGGTCCCTGGTGGAGGGGCTCAGCCAAAACGTTTGCCCACAATGCGGCGCCCGCGAAAAAGAGCCGAATTTCATCTCAGGAGTCCCGGCTGCCGGGATAGTCATGCCCTTGGAGAAATCCAGGGTGTGACTGGCTCTAACTAATTACAGCACTGTGCACAGATCTGAACATGTCTTCAGAAGAGCACCGTGGAGCCGGAGAAGGGTGGAAAAGGCCAGCCCAGCGGACTAGGCAGGAGGAGTGCATGGGTGAGGATGGCTTTTTAGCTTGGGGGGGAAGGCAGCTCGGGAGAAGGAAAGGCCTGGGCAGAAAGCAGGGCAGAAAGCACCTTCTCCCGCTCCTGCAATATCACCACATGATTCCGTGGGGATTCAGGCCCAGCTGAAAGGACGTTCTTCCTTCCACAGCTGCAGAACCTGCCGTTGCCTGGCACAGGGCAGCTCCAGCTCAGCGGGAGGACAATTCATGGCAGGTGGGATGTCACCAGCGCCTGAGGGCTGCATCCTGGCCTGGCTTGCAAGCAGCCACCTTCCCGCCAGATCCTGAGCCCACCGGGAAGGCCATTCCTCAAGCCCTTCCAGGACTGGCTACACCCAAGATGCCGGAAGCCTGATGGGGACATCCCAGTTCCCCTTTAGCTCTTCGGCGTGAGGATGGGCGGGGGGCTCCACGGACCTCAGGAACATTACAGGCCACTTGCGGAACGGGCGTCTCTTCTCAGGAGCCCGGCTTCGGCGCGGCCTCCTTCCTAGCTTCCTGATGCAGCCCCTAGCCTGGGGGGCACTCCACTCCTATTGCACACAGGCAGGCAGACGTGCTTCCGGGGGACGCTCTGGGCTGCGTGCGCCCACCCTGTGCCGTGGAGGCCTCTTTGCTTTTATTTTTATTTGATTTTAATAGATATTTAGAAGTGCCACCGGAAAAAAAGAGATTTACACATTGTGTAAAACTCAAAGTAACATTAAATTAGTACTGCATATAAAGATAATCTTATATCAATTTTAGCAATCATTAAAATCAAATAATAGCTAGCAAAGCCAATCAATACGTTAAGGATCATTCGTCAGAATACACGATTAAGAGGAGTTTCTATCTAATAACAAAAAAGGCCTATCCTTATAGCGTATCAGACAAGATCTAATATTTTAAAGCATTACATCGAGAGAAGCCCAAACTTGGCTCTCTGGTACAAGACCCTGTGCAGAATTATAGCCCATAAATGGTTTCCAGTTTAAATTACTTTATCAGGTTTGTTTTTTAAATATGAAGTTATTTTTGATATTCATGCATACTTCTACTGCTTAGCCTGCCATTTTTCTCAAGAAAGAAGTATATGTAATTTCCAGTCAAAAGCATAAAGTAGAAATTTATGGAAATTGTTATCATATACAGAGCAAACTCCTATGCTTTATAGGAATGTAAGGGTTAGGAATGCTTAGCACAAAAAAGAGTCAGTATGTAAGATTTATTTCATTCTATGGTGAATTGTCTTCCAGAATGGTTGAACTTTATGACATTCCCACCAAATGTGGAAAAATGTTCCATCCTAAGTATTGCATTTTGAATACTGCATTTCCATTTTTGAATATGAATTGCTTTTTTTAGCAATGAGCAACAGAGTATTATACCTAAAAACTGTACTGTTTTCTCTGAGTGTAATAATTGCAGTAAATTTGATATTTATCTTCCACTTGCATATCAGTTGTGCTGCTTAAATTCTGCATCCATTTAACCATACATGTGTGTATGTACAGGAAGGTAGGGGCCCATGTTACTAGAGGATAGCGCTTTACTTTGAAGCACCCCACCACCCTGCTTACCAAGGAATGTAATTAAAAACAAATCAGGGGACATGTGAAGCCCGATTGATGGATGCCAACAAGATGTCAATCAGTGGCCCTCCCTGCTGCCCTGTTCACACACCCTAGAAGCTCCAGTTTTCTCTCATCACAACCCCGCTTGGTGGTGGGACAGTGGCTTTGTCGTGCATTTTTCCAAAGACAGCCAATAAGCTGCAATGGCAATATTATGGGAGCACGCAGCACTGATGTCCCTGTGCTGAGTGATACAGATCAGTGCGTTCTTCTCCTGCCTGTTTCTCTCTGGTGAGTGAATGCTAGCTGGATCACCACCCTGTCCTGTTGGTGTTCAGGAATTTCAGCTCCCTTTTAAAGGAAAGGAAAGGGCAAACACAGCCAAATTTCTCCCCCACTGCAAGATCTTATCCATCTCTCTGAGGATCTGTGCTGAGGCTTATACCAAGATAGCAGTACAGGCTTGGGTGCCAATCCGGGAAGGGATATGCCTAATATTCCTGCCAGAAGCCAGGTGGGCAGGAAGGGATGGCATCTTGGTCTTCCAGTGGTTTTATGGGGCTACAGTGAATCACACAAGAACCCTGAATTAGCCCTCTGCTCCCCGCTGCTCTGAGGTTCTTCCCACACTCTTCACTGTGACTCCCACAATGGGGACTTTCTCTTGCAAAGGGTGGAAAGGATACCAATGGAGCATCTTCTACCTTCAGTGGAAAGCTGGCTGCACACAGGGTGCTTACTGGGAGATCTGGCTCCCTGTCACAGCTGCACTGGCCCAGCTGCCTCTTTTGGCCTGATCACCACACACACTTGTAGAGGAGGGATTGGGGTTGGACTTTGTTGCCCCAGAGGGCAAGACCAGAACCACTGAAAACACAGGGAATTTAATTCAGGTTAGCTACTAAGAAGCATTTTCTGATTGTAAGAGCCTCATGAAGTAGCATGTTATCCTGCAGCAGAGGTCTTCAAACAGAGGCTGAGTAACCATGCCTCAATGGATCCTGCACTGAGCAGGGGACTAGATGGCCTCTTAGGTCCCTCCCAATGTTAGGATTCAATGATTCTATGAAAAGCATTTGAGGCATTATTTCTGGTCCACCTGATTCCAAAAGGATCCTGTTTCCCTCCCAGAAATTGCATTTGCCCACATCAACTTATTCTTCTCCATCCTCCCATCCAATCTCGCCCGAAAAGCTCTTTAATAATATTTCTCCCCATAGTGTCTGTGCAACAATGGTACTGGCCAGGAATGGTACTCCCGATTTCATAGGTATAAGCCTGCCTAGTTTCACGATATTTGAAGTTCTCTTTCAGTCCCTCTCCCCCCAGGTCTATCAACTGGTATTTCTGTCAAGCCATCCACCCCGCCTTAAGCAGCTAGAGAAGATGACAAGACCCATCTTAATCTAGCATTCAGTTTCTCAGAGGCCAACCAAATATCTTTGGAGTCTCATAAGCAGGAGATGGAAAGAGTGCAGAGAAGAGCAACAAAGGGGGTGAGGGTTTTGGAGACTAAATCCCATGAAAGAACTGGGTAGAAGAGATGGCTAAGGGGAGACATGATAGCAGTCTTCCAATACCTGAAGCACTGTCACAGGGAAGAAGATGTGGGTTTACTCTCTAAAGCTCCTGAGGGTAGGGTTAGGGTAGGGTAACCTGCCTCCTGGAGGTTTTCTAGCCAAGGTTGGAGAGTTGCTTGTCTGGGATAGCCTGAGGATTTCTTCCCTGGGCAGGGGGTTGAATGTCTTTTCCCATCTAAAGAACTCTAGTGCAGGTGCCAGCAAGACCCACCTACCTGTGGGATGGCTGCTGCGGGACTCCTGGAGTTTGAAAGTGTTGTCTGGTGGGGCTGCATCTTTCCCATCTGCCTGGTGGCCTGAAGAGGTCACTGGGGGAGAGAAAGTTCAAATTAAAGAAATATAAAACGATCTGGCTCAAACCGGACATTTGTGGGCTCAAACCGACAATTCTCAAAGTTATGGGCCCCAGTTTCTGGAACAGGGTGACCTGAAGGGCCAAGTGAGTGGACAGACCTTTGATCTAACTGCCAATAAAGCCCCTGCAAAATCCCACCCAAGGGCTAAAGGGCACTGAGTGGAGGACACTTTGGGGGTTTTATAGGTCTACCTCTGTGCAACAGTTCTCAAACCTGTCACATCTCCAAAACCTTTCAAAGTCCACTCTCTTGCTTGATTTGCAGACTGTGGTCATATTGTAAGAGTCCTAATGATACAAAGCTTGGTGAAAGAAAGGATATGTCTGGGGATCAAGTCAGCTGGTCCTGGAAGAAAACTCCGTGTGTGTTTATCCAAGAAACGGAGGGAAGTTCAAGGAAAGCAGAAAGCAGAGGGGAAATACCCACTTCTCGTTTATTTATTTAGTTATTTATTTATTTATTTATTTAACATAAATTTATATGGCCATCCATGTCACTAAATGCAACTTTAGGCTGCTAACAAAAATAAAAAGAATGCAATAAATAAGGAGAAACACAAAACCAAACCAAACCAAACCACCACCGTCATTAAATGGCCACCAAGGAAACCATGGTGCTCATAGTGCCAATATGGGCTCAACCAATCTCCTGACTCCCGAGCCCAGGAAAACAGCCAGAAAGTAAGACTTTTCCAAAAGGCCAGCGGGACTGGGGCCAACCTTGCAAAGGGCAGGTGCCACAACAGAAAAGACAAACTTCCTGTCCCACTAGATGGCATCCCCCAGTTGATAAGACCCGGAGCTCACCCTTCCTGCCTGGGCTGATGGGATGGGAAGAAGTAACTGGAGAGAGACAGTCCCTCACATGCCCTGGCCTCCTCCATACAGAACTATGTAGGTAACCACCAGCACCTTGAATTGTACTAGGAAGCTAAGTGGAAGCCAGCGCAGCTTGCAAAGCAAAGATATAACATGGGCATCTCAAGATATGTCCACAATTGCTTGCGCCACCACATTCTGGACCGATTCAGCTTCCAGATATTCTTCAAGCGCAGTCCTGTGTTCCTGAACAGGGAGGCTCTGGGGAGAAAGGGCTGCTTCCAGAGCTGGGAGGCAAGGGGACTTTGGGCTGTTTAAAAAAAAATGAAGATTTCAGCCTGCTGAATCCCAGGGTGTGATGTGGATTTGAGATTCCGTTTAAAGCGCTTTCCTCACCATTCAATGACTTCAGAGATATTATTTAATACAATTTATTTCATGTATATCCCATCTTTCCTTTTCTTCTGGATGTATTAGATGGCACATAAATGAAACTGAACAAGAAACAGTATCAACGATGTTTTATACCAATTTTATACCAACATTTTATACCAATTTTCTCTAGGTATAATATTCAGAAAAAAGGTAATGTTCTTCTTCCACTGAAGTTCCCAGTGTTGCATCTCTATTACTGCATTCAAATTTAATCATGCAGTTTTTGACTTATTAGGTTCTGAACTGTATTTCACCAGCAATTTAGAGATAATGTTCTGAATTTTCTGTTATAAGATTTTCAAATTCAACCAGGTCTCTCAATATTCCCCCTTGGTTCTGCAACTCTTTTAGTACTATACTACTATCTGAAAATATCGAAACCAATCAGGTAAACCAGACCGTTGTGAAGTAAGAGCCTCAAAAGACTTTATCTTTATTTTATGGTTTTAAATCAGTTCTTAACAGCTTTATTTGTTCTCATCGTTTTATTTGTATTCTGTTCATGGGTTTTTGTAGTTGTTTTAGTTATGTGAGCCACCCAGAGTCACAAATGTAAGATGGGCAGCCATACCAAATAAATAAATAAGCAAACAAACAGTCTTATTAAAAATTAAATCTTGCAGTCTAAACAACTGATTAACTCCACTGAGTGGATTCCTTAAGTGCTTCCCTCTTTATAGAAATAAGCATTTAATACTGAAGCAAGGGGAGAGCAATCTGGGTTTAAAGCAGCCTCAGCAAAGGACATTTTAAAGCTTTGTGAGAAGAAAGCAAAGAGGGCCTCAGGGGGGTTCCATCGTGTGGACCACCATTCAGGATGCGTGCCCCTGGGCCCTCATGCTCTCAACCCCATCAGGTGGGACCTGGAGCAATCCACCGGTGGGGTGGGGGTGCTGGTCTGGTCAGGAGGCATGGTCCAGTGAAAAAGTACATGGTGCTAAGCCATGGGGGGCTTCAAAGGAAAGCTGGCCAGAAGCCGTTTGGCAACACAGTGACCTCAGCTGAATTTTTTTACTGCCACAAGGACTGGCAAGTGAAAGAGGGCCCTGGAAATCTTTGGGGTGTGACTGCCAGACCCTTAATTTGTTTCTTCCGAGCTCAAGGTGGCGGGGAAGGAAAGGCCTGGAAGGTGTTCCAGATGCAGGGAGACCTTTGGTAAGCCAATGAGGGAGCAGCAGGGAGGCTCTCGGCCCACTGAATGATGCCTCTTTGTTTGGGAATGACTGAGGGCCAAGAATTTTTGACCACAGACCACTGCTCCGGCTTGCAAATTCCACCTGGGCCCACCTGTGCCAGTGATAAGACGATGACTTGTTTTTAGACCAGGTTGAAAAAAAGGAAAACAAGTCCGCAGTCTTGCTGCATAACTCCTTGTAAAGCAGATACTTTCAGTTAACTTCGCTCAAAGCCTCACCTCAGATACTGAGACAAAGGCCATCTTCAGGTCAAGGGTTCTTCCCCCAAGAGGTATCCTCTAACTAAGACACATTTCAGCCAAACGGTGCAGCATAAGGCACAGATCCAAAATGGACTTGCTACTTGGCAGCACCCTATCTTGGACTGGCTGATCAGCCGATTCCCCTGGCACAGAACTTTCCAATATCACTGGGGCCAGTGGGCTGCTTCTGCCTTTGCCCCTGCTGCCCTCACTGAGCGCAGGGTCCACTGGCTCCCCCAACTCCAAGTTTCTGTTACCAAAGCTGAGGTGAAAGTTGTGTTTGAGGGATGGGCCTCACTTCCCCTTTCTTAGCCCCCTCTTGCCATTCTATCTTCCCCTCAGGTACTCCAGCAAGACCCTTCTAGAGCTCTTTGCCCTCCCTTGAGGCCTACTGGCTGCCCCCTTGCTCGGGCACTCGGCCTGTTCCCTGCCCAGCCTGCCTCCCCAAGCCCGACTTCTCTGCTACCTGGCTTCCCAGGGGCTGCTCCGGACGGCTTCCCAGGAGAAGTCGGCTTCGCTTCTTTTCTCACCGGACTCCTTCCTGCAGCTCTCTTGGAACTCATGCTGCTGAGCTAAGAATGGAAGTGGACAGGGGCGTGGGGAGGGGGGGCACACACAGAGAGATCCATTGCCTTTAGAACATGCCATCTACTGACTGGGGTTACAGGCTGCTCCAATCGGTAACTGCAGTGTATACCCCAACATCCATCTATTGATTTAGAAACATAAAATAAAAATAAATTACACTGAGCTCTGGGAGGAATTTTTGTTACTGACAGCCCCTGACTGGGTGGAGCCACTGGGACTAGGAGGGGGCGGGTTCAGGCCCCAGGCCGCCTTCAGCCCTGGAAGCTCACGGCAGCATCCTTCTTTCCCCACTCCATCAACCTCAAAGGGTTGTTGGGAAGGTAATTAGGCATGCAGCCTTGAGCACCTGGAAGAACGGGCGGGGCGGGGGGGGGACAGGCATCTTTACACCCTCAGCTCTTCCAGTCTGATTATCTACGACTTCCTTTCGATCTCCCAACCTGCTGGCCTTCTCTGAACTGGTTCCGTCTGGAACTGAACTGGACACTGCACTTGCGAAGGCATCTGGCCGAAGGAGAGCAAAGTGGGCGGTACTTGGAGGACACGCGACGTTGCCTTTTGGGCAGCCTCCTCACGCTGCTGGCTGACACTCAAGGGGCAATCGGCTACCCATCCCAGACGCTCTAATCCACGACCCGCGTCGTTCCAATTTTATTTCGCTCTGCCTTCCGCGGCTG